ATATATTTATTTATTTTTTAAATACTGTAATTGTATCTGATTACAATTTTACCCTTTTTGCTGCCACTGATGTAAGACTGCAGGAACATATAAACAAATTCCTGGCTGCTTACATTTTCACAGTGAGCTGTCAGCTTTCTTCTGGAAGTGACCACAGCTTCCCAATAACTTTCATATGTATTGTAATGTGATGCCACACTCCCCCCTCCCCTTTATGTGTTCATATGCTTACCAGTTCTTTGTGGGCTGACAGTACATGTGAAAGTAATCAGGGGGCTGTGGTCACTTCCACATTTACTGTAACATGATGTCACATTGTGACCCATTGATGTTATCACTGGGTCTGTCTGCCGCTCTTTGGTGGGAGGGACCCCATTTGCAACTGCCACCTTTTGTATTCTACAGGGTCTCTGCTTTCAGAAAATATATAAAGATTCGGGGGTCTGAAGTAATTTTCAGGCCTAAAATGTGCACTTGACATGTGTGCAGTATAATGAAAAAATAAATAAATAATGACTCCAGCAGTGAATTGGTTAATCTATTGGCCTGCAGTGTCACCTGTAGACTCAAAGCTTATTTTTTGTGAATGAACCTCCAAGTCTGTATGTATGACCAGCTGACATAGTTATCACATGACCACAGTAACCACTCTGATTGGTTCCTGATCAGTAGTGGGACTGAGCACCTGATTACAAGCAAATTTGAATAATTCTCCTGCAAACAATTCATTATTTCACAGTTTGCTCAAGCATAACAGAACATGATGTGTGATAAACATACAACTAACCATTCGTGTTGGTGGATATACACTTTAACTACTCATTCATATAAGGCCCTGAAAAACAACATAAATCTGACCACTGCTGCAAACAAAAGTATTTTTAGTGCCCACCTAGGCATCTGCTGCAAATATGGGCACTGCATTTACAAAAAGATTTAATGTGCTGCTGGATTCAGTAAACTCTATAATGTAACTCTATCCACAAATAGGATCTCGTTCCTATACAGTAGCTGGCTAGTCAAATCACTATTAGTGTCTATGTTTGCTATAGCTAACAGGGCACCTTAGGCCATTTGCTTCAGGCACTGTTTGGTGCTTGGAGCTGCTGCAGGAGGTTGATGACAATGGATAGGATGTGTCCTGTTCACTTGCATCACATTGTGTATTTACTAGCCCCATCTTTCAGACGCTGTCCTCCTTCTCTGTCTAAGCTTTGAAGGCTCACACTCCCTGCTTAAGTTTCCATTTATTACTATGGAGATTCCATGACGAAAGCAACCAAGGGCAAACATTCTAGCAGAGGTTATAAGACAGAATTAATCTGCTGATTGGTTACTATGGAAAAGGCTTTTCTTTTACCCATTTCACGGACTACCAACCCATGTTTAATCATTATGAGTATCTGTGATCAGAATGGTGCTCAATGTGTGGTTAAGGGGACCGTCAGTTGCCTAGCACTGTGCTAGGTAAGAAAAAAGATAGAAAAGAAGGACTTACAACAAGCAAAAGAAAAGTACATTTCTACCCACTGTGTTCATTATTTAAAGAGAAACTACAACCTACAACTCTCCCTGCAAGTATTTATAGTGAATTTGTGCTTTGCTCAAGCTCAATACTTCCTTCCTTTTGTTTCCCTTCGTTCATCTTTGTCATGTGTAAGCTATAGGTCACCATACTTGCAGCTTGCACAGGAATATTTGCACTGTTGGCCCACTGCTGTCACATAAAGCAAGTGATATATTCCTCCATACTTGGAAGTTCCGGATTATTTCCTTTGGCTCCTGATGCTGAACGGAGCAGCAGAGACATGAAAGTTCCACCTTGAGTGACCCACCGTTGAGTACAGGAAAAGTATACTCAAAATCTGATTTTGTGGTGCTGATACACAAATGGCACAAGTGATGTGTGGGTGTGAGGCTGGCCATGTTGGGGCATTTTTTGTCTGATTCTACGTTCATCATAGCTATTAAAGCAGAGAAGACTAATAATGACCTGGGGTCACAATTATTCCCCTATAGGCCATAAGGAGGGGTAACTTGACATGCACTAAATAACGGATGAGTCGAGTGTATTAGAGAAGCGGCGTGCATGGACGGACGCTGATCGCAGCAGCTCCGGTCCCACTCTCATCCTTACCCTATCCTGACGGTTCCAGCGACTCGGTCGGCACCCGGGCTCCTTCCGCTCTCCCTCAGGATCCTCCTGGCAGCTGCGATGGGGAAAATCGGGGACCAAAGGGACGTCTCAGCGGCCGAAAAATTGGCCCGGTTCCAGCGGCAAGATGGCGCCGGACATGCGGCCCTCCGCACCTCCTCGGGCTCCACGATGAGGACGGGGACTCCTCAATCCTCAAGTAAGGGGGCTTCCCAGGGGAAATCTGCTCCACTGTCCCAGCTGGGCATGAAGGGGAAAGCAGCACAATCCCCCCAGGCTGAACACACAAAAGGCCAACCTGTACAGCGTGCTGGCAGGGCCTCTGAGGAGAGGGGGATGGGGGAGACGTTCCCTGCAGACACACAGGCCCCTGCTGAGCCCACCCTCCTACAATTAATGGAGGCTATTCGGGACTGCAAAACCTCCCTGGCATCACAGATTGAGGGGGTACATATAGACCTCTCTCTGCTGAAGCATGATGTTCAGGGTCTGCGTGACAGGGTCACCGAAACTGAGGGCCGCATTACTATCCTGGAAGATGCGATGACCCCGTTGTCCAGGGATACTGCTGGATTACAGAGGGAGCTAGCGGCCTGCAGAGCTAAAATGGATGACCTGGAGAATCGCTCCAGGCGGAATAACCTCCGCTTTGTTGGATTTCCTGAGCGGTCAGAGGGCCAAAATCCTGAGCAATTTATTCAAGATTGGCTTAGAGAGATGTTTGGAGATTTCACCCCCTCTTCTCCCTCCTTTGTGGAGCGGGCGCATCGCACACCACCCTCCTTGCCTCCCCCTGGTTCCGCTCCCAGACCTATTATTGCCCGGATCCTCAACTTCAGGGATAAAGTGGCGATTCTGCGTGCCTCACGGATTGCAGGGGAGCTCTCCTATAATGGGAATCGGGTCTTCATTTTTCCTGACTTTTCCGCTGAATTACAACGCCAGCGGTCCTCCTTCCTGGAGGTCAAAAAGCGGCTGCGCCAGGAGGGTGTCGCCTATGCCATGCTTTATCCTGCCAAACTGAAAGTGACAAGGGATGGTAAAGTACAACTCTTCTCCTCACCCACCGAAGCCTCGGACTGGCTGGATGGTAAAGGCCTTCCCCAGAGGAGACGCCGCCACAATGAAGTCCGGTAACCTGTCCGCTTGAGTACTTTTTCCTCTGTCGGATCACACCGCCTATCCATGGACAGGGAGCTGACCGTCACTCCTACAACACCATAGTAACTTTCAGTTCATGTTGGATGCAGCTGGCCCAGTATCCTGACGCGGTACTATTCCTTTGGACCCCCCCAGGGGTGGAAATCCTCCATGCGATCACTAATGCTGCCCTGACCATGCCCACGGCCCCGTTGATGATCATGGGCGACTTTAATATGGCCCCTAACCCCCTACTAGACCGTATGGGAGGCGGAGGGCGACTCAATAGTACCTTCACTGACTGGATACAGGGAATTGGGCTTGTAGATGTGTGGCGCTGGAAGTGGCCGGATACTAGAGCCTACTCATGCCACTCTGCTACACACAGGACACTCTCCAGAATTGACTTGGCATTTGTCACCCCGACGCTTCTTCCAAGACTCTCGGGGGTGCGCTTTCTCCCTAGGGGGATCTCAGACCATGCCCCCTTATTAGTGGAGCTCAACTGGGGACATTCGTTCTCTTCCAGAGTGTGGAGGATGAATTCCCATTGGCTGTCTGACCCCTCTGTGGAGACTGCCTGCTCCCAGGCTATTGGCTATTACTGGAGTGACAATGCCCCTGTGACTTCCTCTTCCCTTAAATGGGAAGCCTTCAAGCCCACTCTTAGAGGAGCGTTCATGGCCGCCACCGGAGCAGTCCGTAAACTTAAGGGGGAGGTAGCACTAGCATTGGAGAATGATATGGGAGAAGCTGAGAACACCTACGTCCTAGACCCTACTTCATCAGCCTACAGCGACTGGATGGGGAAAAAGCGCAAATATGACCTGTTCCTGCTAGAACAAACTAAAAAGAAAATGCTACATACTCCTACATACATAAAATATTCGAGTTTGGGAATAAGGCGGGTAGATTACTGGC